TTAGAAGCATCGGCAGCTCCATCTTTGCCCACATGGTTGACTCCGGACATCTTGTGGACCCCGGCGAAGCCTTTAAGGTAACTTATAATGTCCCGCCAATGTAACCAAACTCCTTGGGCTAGCGTCTGCTAGCAACAGCACAAGCAACCGCGATCTGGTTGAGGAAGCCGGTTTGTGCCCGCAAAAGAACCTCCTGCAAGCCCCCAGCTTGGCATGCTCAACGGTTACATAACCGCCTGCATCTTTTCATGCTTTCTCACCCTGCCAACCCCCTCCCCCCACTGTCCGGATTCAACAAACCCTCATTGCCTCGCAACCAGCCGAGTTCTATCAACCCCAACCCCTTCTCCATGACCAATTTGCCTGTAACAATTACCATTATTGCCAGCTTGTTACTTTTTACCCCTTTCCTATATAAATGCAATGGCCCGAGGAGAATTGATCCACAGCCACGCATGGTCGCCAGATATACTTCTCAATTCTCGGATGGGAATTTTTGCAACTTTGAACAAACAAAAAGTAATTTTTCATCCTAGAAACTGCTAACTAAATGAAAAGTGCTTAGTCCTGGAATTTATCCGTTTTTGTTTTGCACCTGATTTGCAAAACTAAAATGGAGTGATTTGGCCTAATTTGTAGCAGTAAACACTCGATTGGTTTGTTACCTGTTGTTCTTCGCTTGGCATGGACACGGTGCTTTCTTTGTGGTCTGAGATAGACGTAGACATAGCGCTTTCGTGGTCTCAGATGGGCACGACGCCTTCGTCTTCTACATGGACACGGCGCCTTCGTGGTCTGACATGGACACGGCGCTTTCGTCGTCTGGCATGGACATGGTGTTGTTGTAGTTGGACACGGACACGGCGGCTTCGTGGTCTGGCATGGATTTGGTGTGGTCGTAGTTGGACAAGGAGCCGCTGTGGGCGTAGTTGGACAAGGAGCCGCTGTGGTCATGTTCGTGGTATTCCCTTGCGGCACTGGAAGAAGCGAGAGATTTCAACAAGGCTAGTATTATGAAGGATAATACCGTAAGCTAAAGGTGTTGAAAGAAAAGGAGAAGTTTGTAGTTTCTATGGCCTCCCCAAAGTGCACAAGGAAGGCGCTCCT